CATTGTTAAGACTGAACTGTGTAGAAAATTTCATCGTGATCGGACTCTCCTTTCGAAAGTTATCGTGTATACGGCCGGACGGACATACTGACCGATTCTAGAGTGTGCTCACTTTTTGAGTTCACAAAAAGAATCTTCCTATAGACTGAAAAGCTCGCCAAAATAGCTGGAATTGAGTCCTAAGTATGATTAAGAATCTAACGAGTGAACTTCATCAGATGTCAAATCACATTTCGATCAAACTTTTACATATAAGACAATTTTCAATATGCAATATCTCAAGATAGATGTTCAATGAACTAATCTCATTAAGAATTTTGTTTATGCAAAGCTTGAAATTGAAATTCGACTTTTCACATGACTTGAAAGAAACGACAAAAATTCAATAAAATCTCGATACTTCAATCACGAAAGTCCAGAAAAATCAAATCATTCTTGACTTTTCTAGTATTCACTTGAATTCATCATATGAATAACATTTCGATCGAAAATCGATTTAACATCTGGAGACGTTCCCTCGTTGAGTTCTGCTCATTTATAACGTTTTTTTTTTCGGGTTACGCCACTAACCAGTAGTGATTGAAAATTTTCTATTTGAAATATCTATTAATAGTTCCATTAAATTGAATTCTTTTCATATCATGCACAGCAGGAAATACTTCGATATACGTCATCATACGTTAACATGTTTATCTTTCAATTCCATATCTCGCATATTCTCTTTGATTTCATCATCAATAATATATAACGTATCTATCTTTCATTCTTAAACATATAATATCATTTATATAATTATCACTTTTGTTAATCTAAAAAAGATGTTATTCGTGAGAAAATTCATATTTCATTAACATTTGTCTGTTAAACATTCCATCTCATTCACTTCATCCATCATTACATATAATAAACATTCAATTTATTTACATAATTGACCTAAATCATTACAATCTAAAAATAGAAAAAAACCATTGGCTACTTTCTTTTCGTTGACCGAAGATGTGAAGTTCAATAATTTTTTCTTCTTCTTCTTGTTCTATTTTTTTTCGTTCAATCGAAATAAAAAGATTATCATTTGAATTGTGAATGACCATGATGGTGAGTGCCTATCTCTATTAAGACTTATTTAATTTTTCTTTTCCATACTTAAACCGATTGCACAAGTAGGTGAGAAATAACAAAAACAAAAGCTTGTTATCCTCTTCTTTTATCGAGTGTTACCATTTTCTCACACGATTTTTATCCACTTCTTTAGAAATACAATGAATTATTCACCGCAAAGTGATATTAATCGACAAGAAAATATATTTGATTCACCGAATTTTATCGATTTTATTAACAAAACATTACATTCACAAGAATATCCTCGACTAGCAACAACAAGAAAATTAACAAATATGAATGAAAAAAAACGTTTCACATTAGGAATAATTCAATTAAGTCTTATTACATCCGATAATCATTTAACATTAAAAGGTAGATTAAAATATTTTGTTTTTCAAAACAAAAATACTTTTTTTTTAAAAGTCTTACAAGTCAAAGGTATTTATTCATGTTTATCAAATATTTTTGTTAAAATGACACTTATACCTGATCGAAAACCATTAGAATGTCATACTCGTATTGTACCAAATATAAATAGTTCAGGAATATTTAATGAAAAATTTACATTTGAAATTAATGATGATGATATACATAAACGTTTATGTTTTTCTGTATATAATTATGAACAAGAAAAAAATCAAATAAATTTTCAAGGTTGTTTATCATTTGGAATACGAAATACATTAAAAAAACAAAAAGTATAAATTAGTTATTATTTACATTGTTTTATTTTATTTTTTTTTGCTTTGTTCTATATTCAAGATTCGTGGTTGGTTTTATTTATTACCTGAAGATATTGGTGAATTACGTCATAAACAAGTATCACATCATGATGAAAAACAAGTAACAAAAATAAATCGAGATATTGCAGATCTAAAAGAATATCAAGTATGTAAAATTCATTATGAGAATGTTTTTTTTTTTTGTAAACCCGTGACTTTTTTCAAAGAAGCTAATCTGATTTTATTTTTCTTGGATTCAATGAATATGAAAAGCTCGAAAAAAGTATATTGTATCTTCGAGGTGACAATTTATACTGAGGCCTTACGATGAATCCTATGTCGGTTAATTTTTTTGTTTGATATTTACATCAACGCTCTGCATCTGGTTAGTTCTCGTTTCGTCGAAAAGATAAATTCTAACTAATCAATGAATAGATTATATCCTTTGATAAGATTTCTTCGTCATATCAATCAGGAACAGTGCCTATTTATTTGTAGATACNTGATAGAAAAAAAACGGCTTTCTTAGGGTAAATCAAGAAGACGAGTTCGAATCTGAGCTGTATTCGCCCCCAAGTCATATTGGGTGAGCAATAGCCAATTGAAGTCAAGTGTTTATAGGAAATATTCGCCAGAATAATTTTGATGTCCACACATTCTAGGATGACTCATCTGTCTAATTCACTTTTTGAAGTACACATAACTCTCGGATTTAAATCCGAGGTTTCCACATTTATTCTAATATGTGTAAGGCTACTACTGGCGATATGATGTAATTTGATTTCATGGTTCATTTATTTATTCTGCTAGACTAGAATATAAGGATATATTTAAATTAAAAATCGTCTAATTTATCCTTTTGAACAAAACGTGAAATTCGATATGTTGAAATCATCTTGAGATATTCGAAAAAAACAAGAGAATGGATTAGGCTTATGATTAGTTTTGAGCGGTGCGGTACATTCTATAATTTTAATATAATATACCCATGATCAATCATTATCTTATTTTAATATTTATTTGTTTAAAAATTGAACAATAATCTAATCGAATTCGATCAATTTCTTTCTATTTGTTCTCAAATGATTCAAACTAATATAAAACAAAAAAGGAATTAAAATCTCGTATGGATTAAGAAAAAGAGCAAAAACAGAATTAATCATATTTGATGATCGTCAAGGCTCGTCTATTGATAACATTGTACCAAATGACAAATATAATTCAATTATTTGATAAGATGCTCATTGAGTGACATCAATAATAAAAAACCCAGATAAAATGAAAAATTAAATCAACAAATACTTCAAGATAAATATTATATTGATATTAACATTAATCGAACTGATAATGAAAAATGTTCTGAAAACGCATCAGTTCATTTTTCATTGTCTAAGTATTTTTTTTTATTATTATCTTCCTGTGTCCACCATTGCAATTTATTTTTCACGAATCTGATCAGAAATAGTACAAAACTGAATAGTATCGTTTCATGGAAGCATATGACATGGTAATTGCGAGAAATGCGGGGGCATTATCGTTATAAATGCATTGCAAGCTTTATGGCCTTGACCTTCAGAAAGTACAAATAAGTACATTAATATGAAGCAATGCCATTATATTATTCGAATGACTTATCAATAATTAAACGAAGAATTTTATAGGACAAAAAAAAAAAAGATTAGTAATATTTAATACAATGAACACAATTAAGTTAAAGCAATCTTTGCAGCAACTATTTCAAACTACAACAAAAAGAAATAATAGAATTTTTTTGTAAGATATTTATTAGGAAAAATTTTCAATTTAGATTTTGAATAGATATTCTTGATTGTTTCAATAAAAAAAAAAGAAAATGCTTTAGCCGATGAAAAATGAAGCAATATATTTTGTTTTGAAGAATTTTAGTATCATTCATTAAATTCACATATGATTACTTTGAATTAAAAATCAATTATTGAACGTTACAAACTATGAAAAAAATAAAAATATATGGTTTTTTTTGTTTTTTTGTATCTAATATCATGCATGAACAGATTTTTTTTTCTTTATTTCACAGTAAAATAAGTAGAATAAATAGATGATGACAACATAACTGTTCGATCATATATACACGAATAAAAAATATACACTATACAAAACACACTCGAGTAAGAATAATAATGGTAATAATAATAATAATAATAATAATAATACAAATGAATACATTGTTTTTTTTAAATACAAGGGCATATCACACGGATGAAATAGATGCGTGTTGGGAGTAAATAATGTTTACAAAATAGGAAAAAAAAAGAAAATTAGAGAACAAAAATTATGCTTGCTAGCACCAAATATACATATTCACAGAAGTACTGTTTTCAAGTAATAGCAAGATGTTCTCATATTTTTCTTTTGTTTCTATTGTAAAACATTGAACATATTATATACATAAAAAAACAAAAAAATAAATAAAAATAGATATTGAGCAAATATAATTCATAATTATGAAAAACCTCCTCCAATATCCATTTCATTATCAAAACCAAATGATGTAGAAGATAAAAATGGATCATGTGTAAATGGTGATAAGGGATCATTTGAATTATTTCCAACAGCACTATTTGTATCATTACTATCTTCATCAACAATACCAAATGATGAAAGTGAATCAAGCGGTGGAAGTGTATCAAATGTTGCAAATATTGGTGTTGATGGAGGAACTAATGGATTATTATTAAATGATGATGATAATGATGATGGTTCTTGTTTAACAACATTTGTATTAACAACTGCTATAGCTGGTGAACTTTTTACTGGTGTTGGTATTATTGATGATGATGAATTTATTGATAAACCAGCTGATAAACATTTTCTTTCTAATTCCTAAATAAAAATATTTAAAAAGAATATTTTTTTTTTTTGTTTTTCAAACATACTTTAACTCGTTCTTGTAATACAATATTTTGTTCTGTAAGCATCTGATATTTTTCATCAATTAATGAAGCATTCTCATATTGTCGACGTAAGATTTTAATATAATCAACTGATGCACGTAATATAGTACCTTTATTTTGTTTACTATCTCTATGAAAATAAAGAACAACAAAAAAAAAAAAATTTTTTTTTTTTTGTTTTTATGTGAATGTCGTTAATTATTGATCAATGATGTTTAGGGATGAGAATTCTTTTTATTTTTATTTTTGATGATCTATAGTTCAAAGGTTAAAGATTGCTCTTTTTTTTTTTATGTATTTCTGAAAAAAAAACATACGAACTTATTAATTGAATGTGTAACATTTCACTTAGAATCTTTGATCTATATTATTTAGTATTCATATTGATTGAATCTTTATTTCTTTTTATAGATATATTGATATGTAAAACAACTGAATAAACATCATCAATATCTATACATAGAAATAAGACTATTCGGTCTAGTTTGTTGTTACAATTAGCAGTCTATCTGGAAAGAATGTTGAAGAAGAAAATATTCAATGTTCTTAATGCTAATAAAACTCTAACTATATGCTCTTCTTGATAGATTACAAAAAAAATTTTTTGAGTAGCACTTACAAATCAGTTCCTTTTGGTAATAAAGTACCAAGTTCTTTAATACGATCATTAATATTAAATCGACGACGACGTTCAACTAAAAAAATTAAAAACATGCAAAGAAAAAAAATAATTTTTTTCATACTCATATTATGATTATCTTTTTTTTGTCGATCACGTATAACAAGACGCATTTCATCATCTGTTAATGGTAAACCAATTTTTGCTTTAGCACTCAATATATTTGTTGGACATGATGATGAATGACGAGAACTACTATCACCTCCATCCTTTGATAATGATGATGATAAAAATACAGAACCAATATGATCACCAGTAACTGTTGTTGATAACTAAAAGAATATTATAATAATAAGCAAAAAAAAAATTTTCAAAAGAAAATATTTACTCGAGGTGTTATACTAATACCATATGTATTACTATCAACACTACCACATGTTGTATCATCATTAAGTTGATCATCCATCTACAAAAAAGAACAAAATAGATTTAAGTTTTTTTTTTTTTGAGAAAGGCTTACTTCAGATGTAATTTCACTATCTGGTGATGATTCTTCCTGATGTAACTAAAATAGAGTTTGATTTTAATTAAATTTTTTTTATTTTCAAAATATATTTACAAGATTTGGTTGTGTGCTGGAAGGTTCATCACCAACTAAACTTTGTTTTCGACATATTTGTTCAAGATGATATTGTGTTGGATTTTCAAGACGAGTTTGAACATTCTATTACAAAAAAAAACAAATTATTTCATTAGATTCAAATTTGAAAAAAATAAAAACCTGAATAGTTTGTGAAGGTGCAGCATTTGTTTGTTTAAGTAAAAATGAAATAGAATCTAATTGTTTTGTATTTGCTGGTGATGACATTCGTATTGCATTTGATGAATTACTTGTTCGTATTGGATTACTATCTCGAGTTAGAATAGATGAGGATTGTGAAGATAAATTTGTACCAATTGAATTTGGTGATACTCGTTGTCTATTTGAACTGTCATCAGTCTAAGAAAAATTTGACAAAAAAAAAAAAAAATTATGTTTTGCTTTTGATTTAGAAATTTACTAATTGTCTACGTAATTGACTTATTCCACTACGTTTATTTGGATTTCTAAAGAAAATTAAACATAAAAATAATTGTAAATGTGTATTTTCTTTTTTCTTCTTTACGTTTGTTTAACAATTCTATATGTTGATGTTGGTGATGATAGAAGATCTTTAATTATTGATTCATTTATATATGTATTTTGTTGTCTTTCATCAACAAGTTCAAAATCCAAATCAGGTAAATTCGGATCAGATGATGTGAACATGACTTTTTTTTTTTTCTTCGTTTTTGTTATGTAAATTAAAAGTAAATATCTACAGAAGAAAAAATAAAACGAATATTTATTTTAAAGTCATTTCATAAAGATAATAATGATAATAATTTTAGAGTACATCAATAAACAGCTGTTTTTTGACTTTTTATGAATTTGATAGGGAAATAAATAACAGGATTAGTATCTCTCTCTCTCTAGAATAAGAATCATTATGAAGGTACGAGAACATGGCTAATGTAGAATATTTTCACCAATAGAAATGAAGGTTGCTAATGTCATAGCAATACAAAAAAAAAACGAAAAAAAAAAACAAAAGATTAATTCTTTAGATTTAGAAAATGTTTATTAACAAAATAAAATTTTGATTGA